AAGGGCCCCCCCGTAAAGAACACCCCCCCTCATAGATGCCCTGCAGAGAACACCCCCGCCAACATGTACCCTGTAGAGAACACCACCACCAACCTACTCCCCGTAGAGAACACCCCCACCCATAGACGCCCTATGGAGAACACCACCGCCAACGTACACCCTGTAGAGAACACCCCCACTCATAGATGCCCTGCAGAGAACACCACCGCCAACATGCACCCTGTAGAGAACACCACCACCAACCTACTCCCCGTAGAGAACACCCCCAACCATAGACGCCCTACGGAGAACACCACCGCCAATGTGCACCCAGTAGAGAACACCACCACCGACCTACTCCCTGTAGAGAACACCCCCACTCATAGACGCCCTACAGAGAACACCACCACCAACATGCACCCTGTAGAGAACACCACCACCAACCTACTCCCCGTAGAGAACACCCCCACCCATAGATGCCCTACGGAGAACACCACCACCAATGTACACCCCGTAGAGAACACCACCACCGACCTACTCCCTGTAGAGAACACCCCCACTCATAGACGCCCTACAGAGAACACCACCACCAACGTACACTCCATAGAGAACGTCAACACCGACCTAGTCCCCATAGAGAACACCGCCATCGATGATGTAAACCATAGGACACCTTGGAAGGAGAGCCAGAAACCTGGGCTGACCTGACTGCACAGCGCCCAGTGTCAGCCTGACCCAAATAGAAAAGACCGTCTGCAGCCTGGGAACACCGTTAGACCCGCCCCTCGTCCTCTGGTGTCTTTGTGTCCCCGTCGGCCAGCCTTTGCGCTCCCCTGTGCTGGTAAGCCCCGTGACCACAGGAGACAACACCCAGAGGTCCGGGTATGGGATGCTAACTCAGCGACCTGTCTCAGCCTCGCACAGGCCCCAGCTCACCCGTCTCGGCAGCGGCTCCTGGGACCTGGCTCAGCGCCCGGCGGGGACGCCCTGCTTCATGCTCAGCTGTGTTGTGCGTGGATGACCGGGTGATAAATGAGGCTGCTCTGTCCCGCCGATCTGGGACAGGACCGATCAGTGCTTCGGTGCTGCAGGACGAGAATGAAAAAATAACTGAGAACAGCTCTCCTGGCCAGCAAACACATCGTGGGACCCGATGGAGGAGAGTGGAGGGAGATACCTGGCCCATCCCGCTGTGTGCAGAACCCTGATGGCTCTCACCGTGTCAGCATCTACCCCAACCCGGATCCGCACTGCTCAGTGCCCTGCACGGAGCCCTGCTCACCCGGCCACCCACGGAACTGCTCCGGCTGCCGCGACGCCTCTCTGGGCTCCGAGCACCAGAGTCGGGGGTGGAAGAGCACAGAATTGTGTCCTCCGTGTCCCGCAGAGGAGCAGCCATCACCTTGTTTCCCAACACAGCGGAGGGAACCTGGCCAGAGGCGAACAAGGAGCAGATTGCTCCCAGCGCTCAC